ATAAATAAATATATATATATATAACATGCTCTTATGTGTGTACATATGTATGGTTAATATCTTCCAATTTCCATAGCAAACCAATGAAATTGTTAAATGTCCTTCAACTCCATACAAAATGGAGTGGCAAGTTGACGAACGTCAGCGAAGACAAAGTGTGAAATGTGTACGCACGCGGAATTCCGGTCTATACAATGGCGAATTCGGTGAAGTTTGTGATATTCTACATGCATACATACGTATTTGTAAGGATATATATACATACATACATATGGCGGCAGTTGCATATCAAGATACATAGGTAAAGCTTGTATTCAGAAAGGATTTTGTGTGGCGAATGCTGTGGGAAATTTATTAAACGAAGTGTGCAAGTAATTTAACTTAAAAAGTTATAAAAAAAATTAGTGAAATTGCGAAAAAGCAATTTAAGGCAGACACCAGGCGAATTTATATAAGGTGGTGTTACTAGCTCAGCTGATTTTGTGTATGTGTTTCGCCGCACGGCTTCTGATATCAAATTGAAAAATTTTGTTTGAATTTCTACACACACTCTTACAGATTTTGACAGTTTATGTACTCCTGCTATCACCTTATATTAATTCGCCTTGGCAGACACTTTACCAGGTTTAACAGATATTCACCGCTTTTCAGGCATTCAGAATTCAATTCAGCTTATGCAATGTGTAGCTGAATGTACTTAAAAGCCTAAAGAGGGCTGAAAATCTTACTACTCTTAAATTTTTTCGAACTTAAATGCAGTTAGTTAAGAGTTTAATTAGCTGAATAGAAGTTACGTATGTAATATTTGCGCTGAATTGTGTATATAAAAAGCTGAATTATTTTGAAATGAAGCTGAATGCGCAAATATATGTATATGTATAAGGTTCAACCGAATTCATTAAACTAAATTTTTTCGATGCGCTGAATGTGGTTTAGGGTCCTTAGAGAGCTGAACTTCTTTTGGTTTTGGTAAGTTTGAGTTGAGTGCAGCTAATTACAAATATAGGGGCATAAAGCGCTAGTCAGCGAATCCAGTTCCAGAATGCTGCAGCTGCGTTACCCTTTACAGCCGTCCCTAAATTGGTGCGCTAAGCGTTGCGTTTTCCATTCAATTCAGCGCGAAAAAATATTGATTTGCTGCAATATTGCATTGCTGAATATCATTGTTAGGCGGCTGAATATAGTTAGAAGTTGCACTCATCGTTTTTTAACAACTGAAATGCGATTAAATTTATTCTGATGCGCTCAATTATGCTTGTAGCGAAACTGAATTTGGTGTAAGGAAATCGCGACTGTTCCAAACTTTCAGTTTATAGTTTTATGTAATTTAAGTGCATTCTAATTCAACTAAAATTATTTACTGATGCTTAAGATCTAATTTTTATTAAAAATTTATATTAAAATTAACAACTATCCAAATCAACTTCCTATCCTTTCTATCAGTTTTTACTTTAGATACCTGTAGTCTTTTTAATGAATGATAATTTTTGAAAAAAAAAAACTTTACCGATTGACCAAGAAATCAGTAAACGGTCCCATTATTTTTAATGTTTTCCCTCCTGAACTTCTTATCGTTTTAATTAGTTTTGAAAACTTTTCTGCGAATATACCGATTTGCAGCGGCATTCGCAAACGGTAAACAATCGCCCGCATATTGAACTCTAAATGCAAGTATGTCCGTGCAGAGCCATACATGCGAACATAACTTGAAAGAAAACTTTTCGAAACTGTGCAAATGGCGAAGGGATGTCCAAATCGGCGACTGTTGCTTAATGGCGACAGTCAGTTAAGGCTAAAGCAGTTGTTTAGATATCAGATTAAAAAAAATTGCGAGCACTTGATGTAGTAGATAAATACTTGCGTAATATTGCAGTAATTAAGCAAATGAGATCGAGTAGAAAAAGAGGACTAGTAACGTTGTGCTGTTATCCGTAGAAAGTGATGGCAAAACAAAAGTACTAAAAATAGGAAGCAAACAAATATAAATTAATATAAGGGGTCTTCAAACTAAAAATTTAAGTTGCTGAATTGAATTAAGCTGCGCTGAATTGAAATCGACTGAGCTGAAATGAATTTAACTGCGCTAAAATGAATTTAACTGCGCTGAATTGAACTTAGCTGCGCTGAATTGAATTTAGCTGCGCTGAATTGCATTTAGCTGCGCTGAATTGAATTAAGGAGCGCTGAATTGAATTAAGCTGCGCTGCATTGATTTTAGCTGCATAGGGTTGTTTTTATGAAGCTTAGTTCCATGTTATGGAGCTTCGCAAAGTTTTATATAAATAATTCATGTTAAAAAATATGGTTATATTTGGTTGAATTGAATTTCATGTTGCTGAATTACTTCCATTATGAGCTAAATTGCGCTTACCGCCGCTGAATTACATTTAGGAGCGGCTGAATTTAATTTCATAAAGCTGAATTAGGTAAATAGCAATTAAGATGATAATAAGATAAGATGATTAATAAACAGCACGTTGTATTGCACATAATTCAGTTATTCAGAACAGATGAAATGTTCGTTCTTTTAAATTAAAATACCCCGGTTACTCCAATAGCAAAAATAAGCAAAGCTACTGGGGTATTCACAACGGTGTCCTAAGTGTCGTACTATTTATGTCGTAAACTTTAAACGGCTAAAAATAAATTTAGGAGCTTCGCAAGACACCATAAGTCATATTATGAATTTTCAGACTGTTAAATTTTAAGTTTCCTTAACAGTAAGTTTACGACATACAGCAATACGACACTTATGGCACCGTTGTGAATACCCCATATGTATATATCTATCTAAAAAATATAAAATATCTACTCTCAACAACTACAACAAAAACTTACGTAAATGGCTGGGGTGGCATACAAACAATTACAAACAAATCTGCAACATTTTTCTTGGGAAAATTAGCGTCGTTCGCGGTCATAACAAAAACGTTCGTATAACTAGTAAAATGAATTTTGATGTTGTTGTTAGTGTTGTTTATGGGGAGGAGTTACAGCTTGTTAGCAGAACTCGGAGATGAATGAGTTTATGCTGTAAAAAAATAGTAGATGATGACTGTTATCGAAATTATTAGTTGGAAAAAAAATTATAATAAACATAAGAAATAAATAGAAAATAAAAAATTAAATAAAAATACAATTTATGAAGAAAATTACTCTAATTAAATTATTGGTTTAGCGTTACTGACTTTTCACATCGCAAACTTCTACCGCTTGGTCTTTGTTGCTTTTTTCATTTTTCCTAACAAACAAATGGTGGTTCAAAGCTCAAAAACATCGCTAAAAATAAATACTTATGGTGATTTCGTTTCTACCAAAAAATTGCGCTTTTTGATTGCCCCTTTCTCACTTCGTGTTCGATTCTAAATTAAGGGTAAAGGGTGAAAAAAATTGTGTTTTCTTTTCTTAAAATGTCACACTCTTTTAAGGCAAAAAAGGCACATTCTCTGCCCTCTGAAGCTTCGTTGTTGTTGTAGCGGCTACAACAACCCGGTCAATCGGTCTCAGTCGTTGTTGTCTACCTCAACCAACGGAAGCCCGGGTATACGAAGAGATGTTTCGAGTCGTGGGTAGTCTCTCCGCATGCCTGACACTCATTTGGCATATCTGTGTCTGATCTGCTCAGGTACGAGTTTAACCTGCTGCAGTAGCCAGAGCGAAGTTGGGCTATTGTTTTTCTAGTCTCCCGAGGCAGATGAAGCTCCGTCTCGTCCCTGTGAATGCCGTTTAAAGCCTGTCGACAAGCTGACGGGTCCAGTGGTTGTTTAATGAACCTCTGGACTTCGTCCGTTAGGTTTTATAGATATGGCTACGTCTGTGGCTTCCTACTAAGAATTGCTTGCAGAGCATTGTGTTGTGCTCCTTTATGGGGAGCATTTTCGCCTCATTATGCAGGTGATGTTCTGGCGACATATCCGGTCGCTGTCCGAAGTGCGGTGTTTTCCGTCGTCTGCAGATTCATCCACTGCGTCCTACTAGTCCCCGCCGACCACACTGGTGCTGCGTAATTTAAAACCGGCCGGCCTATTGCCTTGTATGTTACCAGCAACGTTTCTTTGTCTTTGCCCCAAGTACTGCCGGCTAGCGACTTGAGGACCTTGTTGCGGCTCTGTACGTTGTTGACAATAGCGGTTGCATGCGCAGAGAAGGAGAGCAGACTGTCGAAGCTTCTCTGAAGCTTCGTCAGGGTAGATGGTTGACCTGAAAATCAGATATTTGTTCAAAATGACAATATTATGAAATAAGGCCGCTAGACAAGGACAGGAAGGCAAAATCATACCTTTTTACAGGGTTGAGTGTAACATCAAACACATCTTGCGCCGGGTAAGAGCAACATTTTTTGGAAGAAACGAAATCACCATTATTATTACGCCACAAAAGTAATAATAGAATCAATTTAATGAAATTAAAGAACTAAATGAAATATGCATGTTTAATGAACTAAACTATAAAATAGTAAATAAAAAGGGTCTACAATGCTTTGATGTCTGGTTTTGACTATGCGCTAATATACTACGCAAAACAGATTAATTACAAAAAAAAGTATGTACTAACTAGAAAATAGCAAATGTAAGGGATTCGCCACAGAGTTTTCTTGAAAACTTTTTCTTCATTTAATTGATTCATTATAATCCAAAAACACAATTATTTTATGTGCATAACTATATTAATTAATATACATATACGTAACTAATACATATTTAATGTTTATATTTTATTATTAATGCGACTGCGTATTGCTTACTCTTGACGTTACATTGTTAATATTGCAAGGTGCTATATAATTTAAATATGTATATGAAAATATAGGAGCGATAGCAAACATATGCGCTGATATTACAATATTTTTCTTTATAATGAATATCGACAATTTTGCAAATGTACAATGCAGTCGTCAGAAATAGTTTAAAAACTAGATACCTTAAAATAAAACTCTTTTTAATGAGGCGAGATAGTTAAGTTTGTCGTTAAGCCAAAACTTAATTTGAAAAGCGTTGGGCTTTCTCAAATAATTCACTTAATTTTACCTTTTCCATCAACGCATGCGTTTCGACAAGCTACTCTCTCTAAACCATTAAGCGTAAATTCAGAAGCGTTGCAGTAAACTTTCACCTGCAGACGCCTGTCATTTATTTGGATCGTTCTTTTCTTTCTTGTTTAACCGATATTCTAACTACGCTCCAATCATTTTTTCGCCATACTTCTATCTCTGAAGATTTGTGAGTGCAGCTGCTACGGTTAATACCTCATTAAGATATTGAAATATAATTGGCTCCTGTATGGCATATGGCTGCAGCATTTTGAATTCTCTCAGACAGTAGATCATGTGTCGTATTTGCAGACGACATACCGGCTCACGCACCCGCATCGTGGGAATTGTGAAGTCTTTTACCTTACGCGAAGTCAATTCGCTATTTACAATGCTCATTGTCTGGTGGGAGGCCAACTCAGCGGCCACGCGCGATGCGGCATATCGGCTGAGTGTTTGCCCATCATCATCGTCATCTATTTCTATATCTTCTGCTGACTCATCTGCTGAATCGGTTGTAGAATCGGTTTCAGCATTGCTAGTCGATTGCAAAGAGTTGTTGGTGTTTGTCGATACGGGCTTCATTTTTCGCTTGCGGCGGATACCTTTGCCGGGATCGGCGACCAATGAAAGGTATTTCGGTATGACATTTTGAAAATTTGATGCAGTGAATATAGTCAAATCATCATGATGCCCGACGAAAGCATCGGAAATGTATGAAATAATGCCTGTGGAAAATTTGGTTAACACTTGTGTTATTTTAATTTGTTCAAAACATGTACATACCATGTCTGTATGTTTATACTCACCATTTGGCGTAATGCTTAGAATAAATTTGTAATTGCTACAATCATTTTGAATTTGCTGCTGGATATCCGTCTCAACGCATTCTATCAACGACTGTACATGCGATAAATTTGGACGAAATGCAAAAGGCAAATTTTTATGACGATCATAGTATTTTTTGCTGTTGGGCCAACGCACCAAATAACGCAAATAGCGAGCCAACTTAACAATGGTGCGTGCAAAAATCTGCTGAGCTTCAGTTTCGCTTAGCTCAAAATATTCGGATAGTAAAGCGAATTCCTCATTTTGACGTAGCTTCTTAAGAGTGACATAACAATCGAGTAGTGGCACATCAGCCGTAGTACAGATAACATTCTTCAGCAATGGCAAACGATTAGAAAGCACACCCAAGTGTACATATGGATTTTTTTCAATCAATTCAAGCGTTACACAGCGTATAGTGCGTTTGGGTAGCTCCCGTTTTATAACAAAAGTGGGACGACGCACCTGCAAGGTTGTGCCTAGCGAAGTGACCGCATTAAATGTGGTTGCATTACTAGCCGATGTAATGGTGGAACCAATGCCACCATTGGTTTGGACATTATTGCTATGCGATGATGAGCCACCGCCGGTCGCCTGTATAATTGTATTGGGCGGCAGCGAGCTAATGGCAGCGCCAATTTGCTGCTTTTTACTTGGTGTAGTTGTAATAGTTGTACCCCCGGGACCACCAATAGTCTGCTGCCATTGAAAGCTGGTGAGTGGCGTGCCCGCGCTAGCAATAGTTTGCAATGAATATTTGGGCGATTTATATGCAGTTTCTGAAAGTAAGAGCTTGTAGATAAAAACTATAGATATCATATCGTAAAAGCTTACCAATTGAGGATGTGCTGCTACGCTTCATAATTGCAGGCTTTATAGTTGCTGGGATTTTATTGATTATCAAATTTGTGCCAGTTCCCAATTTTATTATAGATTTCTGTAAGTCGAAATTAAAGCTAGTTAGCATCAAATATGTTATACAAGAAATTGAGGAGAAAAACTTGTTACACTCTGAGCGCAGTTACCCCAGGAAATGCTATCAAAATTTGGCGTCACCAAAAATTATCCAATCAAATTTGTATCGTTTTTATAATCTCAATAAAACATCATTCAATGCTTTTTATGCCATGGCCTCGCCTTTTACAAATGGGCGCCATCAACAAGTTACACGCTTTTTAACCAAGTGCCTCACATATCTTCACAAGATTTAAATACTACTTACGAACTAGCCTTCTTGTTATATTAAATATTAACTATTTTCTGCTAAAGTGTTTGCATTCCAAATATTTTTATGACTGATAATCACCTTGCTAAAAGACTGGAATTAGCACGATTGTGAAAAAATGAAAATGCAACGCGTTGTCAGCGAAATTTGTGAATTAAATTCTATTCAGGTATATAATGTTCTCTTTCACACCTTTAGTTAAAAAAACAGTGTTGCCATACTTTAGAATAAAATATTTGAGATTGCCGGATGGAGAAAAATTTCCAAAATCTTTTAACGAATCTAATCAAATGGAAACCATATTGGAATCCGATTGAATTATGTGCCCTGTCTCACGATCAATACGGATCGCGATCCAGTGTCGTGATCCATATTGATGCTTCATGATCCACCCCCTGCTATGCTACACCTTCAATATTTATCGCAAGAACATACTTTAATTTTTTACCAAATCATTTATATATCGTCGCTCGAATAAAGAAACAGTGTAAATGCCACATACACTATTATTCGATAATTGCGCCATTGGATAGACAATCCTTTAATATATTGGCTGTATTTCTTTATTCATTCTGAACGTTTGGAATAAACTTTTTTGTTTATTTATTCTTTAGAACGTTCCTGATGATATGTTGACGTATATTTCAAACGCATTCTGTTTATTCCGGCTGTGAAATGGGATTATCCGGAATGTATAAAGAAACGCAGCCATTGAAAAATCTTTAGTTTTCTTAAATATATCTTTGGCTCACTAATTTATTCCCGAAAAACGAAATTGTATTTGTATGGTTTGTAATGGTTTATAAAAACTTCCAACTCGTTTTTCTGAAAACTATACTTTTCATGTTACACTATTTCATTATTCCAGCGACGATATAATGCATTCCATAATCCAACAACAATTTCCAATGTTAATTTAAATATTTTCAATTTGTTTTGAATGGTTTTAAGCGGCGAGAGCGAATCAGAATGCATACGTTTTCGATGTCGGCGTTATGAGAGTAGATGTACTGACGAAATGGGTCGCGTTTTGAAAATGCTACACGTTCAATATTTATTGACGGTTTTGCAATCCAAGAACAACGTTTCTAAATATCTAGAAATTTGCGATATAGATCAAGATCCATCAATATTGCATGCTACATGATCAGTAAATATCGCGATATTTGCATCACATCAATATATATTGATCGTGAGACAGGGCCCTATAATCCATAAAAATTGCTACTCTTTGGACAGACTATGTCGTGACTGGAACAAAATGTATCGTGGTGGCAAGCTTGATAATATGTATGAAAGGCGGTTGCCTGCAATCAGCTGTTTGATGTTTTTACCGAAACTTGGGGCTAAGTTCATTAGCTTGCTATTTAAAATTCGTTATGTTTACTAATTTTTCTATCCAACACAACGAAACAGCTGCTTAGGAATATCATTTCTCAGATTACCAAAAATAAACTTAAAAGTAATTTCAATGTTATAAAATTGTATCGCGTATCAATTACCACTTTGTCAAAACTTTTGCTTTACAGAAAAAATTACGATTTCGACCGGTATGATTAAAAAAAAAAATCAATAGTCTTTTATGTAGAGCGGCAACTCTGTTGCGTATGAACTTAGCAAAGACTCAAACCATGTTTTGCTACTTCAGCAAGGGCATTTTCGCGACTTTAAAAATAGCAAACATGCAAATATGCATATGTAATCTCATTCCGATGAGAATTTTTTAGCAATGAAAATTTAAGAAAAATCTCCTAATTTTAAACTTTAGCAGTTCCCATTCCTAAATCCACTGTGTTCCTTTTTGTGATTGGGAGTCGCGGCCAATTTACCTTTGCAAGTTGTTGTTGCTGTTGCGACTGCGATTCTGGTTGCAATTTACTTTTTATCAATATCGCAGGATGTGGTGTTGGTGCTGCCGCCGACGCGCTGCTTTCACCCGCCGCAGGTTTTCTATATTTCACTACAGTCAACGCCATTTTTTAGATAATTTATATGTGCATATGAATATTTTAAGAGGATTTTATGCCCTAGAATTTCAATAGAGCCACAAAGATGTATGTAGCTATAGCGCTAAAATATGTATGTACTATCAATTAATGCATTTATTCTTTTGTTGCAGCTAGAGCACTTTGCACACTTTTTTGCACAAACTAATAGATTTTCACAATTCTTTGGCTTTTCGGTTCATCGCGGCTACTTAACCATAATTTAATTTGTAATTAAATTGTAGCAAATTCTTTTTCCACTTGTTTCACCAAAAATTTCACATTGCTAGGACCGAAAAACTTTATGCTCTGCTTCTTCCACTGCACTACCAGCAGCTGCTGCTCTGCTGTACCGACATTTCTCCTAATTTTAGGACGGTGAACCAAAATGCACTACAAATACGGGTGCGTTCAGAAATGCATCAGATCAAATCATGAGTCTCATTTATTTCTAAACTATAATTGATGGAAATGTCAAATATGCGCAACCACGGTTAAATGCCGAATTTGCACTAAGGGCCGGTTACTCAATGTCTGGTTAACATTAATCTGCGGTTAAACATCGTTATCGACGTCTTCGACTCCATGCATATAACAGGGAGTCGGTAACGTCGATAACGATGTTCAACCGCAGATTAGTACTAACCAGACATTGAGTAACCGGCCCTTAGTTGCGTAAATAAGACATTTCCATCAATAAGTTTAGGGCCTGTGCCAATTGATAGAAAAGTTCTCTGGATAGTAAATTTTTGACAGCTATGAGGTGAATAAAAATGTTTGATACGGCAGGGCTAGTGAAAAATTTGACAGCAAGCATTATCAAGAAGAAAAACGAACAACGCACGTATAAACATAAATTAAAGAAAACAAAAGCGAGTGGAAATAAAAGAACATGGTCCCGCCGGCAAAAAAAATAAATAAAAGCTATATAACTTGTAAGATTTAATTTCAGATTTACATATGAAAAGGCGTTATGTATTTTTTTAATTAAAAATACTATTTTACAGGGAGCAGTTCAGAACGCAGAATCCTTCTGGAAAAGCGCATTGACAAGGATGTTTGGTTCAGTTCAAAGAACGCCAACAGCAACGAAGGCTGGAAGTGAGTAAGAACAATATAAATAATTTGAAGACTTTATTAAGCAAATGACTTCGTACTCCACTGACCATCCGTGGCGCTTTATGGGAATGTGAGTTACAATTTTTCGAAACGAAGCAGAGGACAACCTAAGATACATTTTTGTAGTCTTGTTATCGCCGTTCATAATGTTGCTTAGTATTTTGGAATAAACGTCTTGTTGCATGTACATAATACCCTAAAACGACATATGTTTTTATTGGAAACAATTGTACACGGTTTTAAACATTTTTGTGAACACACTTACCAGACGGTTTTGACGT